CTTTCTTAGTGGTATCTTTAAAAAAAAAAAGTTTTTAATTTTGATGAAGTCCGACTTACCAATGCTCTCTTTTATCAGCTGTACTTTTGGTGTTCTATCTAAGAAATCACTGTCTAACCCACGACCACAAAGATTTTCTCTTGCATTTTCTTCTAAGAGTTTTATACTATAGTTTCAGCTCTTACATTTAGTGTTATAATCCACTTTGAGTTAATTTTTGTATATGATGTAATGTAGATGTCCGTGTTTATCTTTTAAATGTGGATATCCAGTTATTCCAGTACCATTTGTTGAAAAGACTATTCCTTCCTCGTTGAATTGTCTGGGCTCCTTTGTCAAAAATCAATTATCATACATGTTGGGTTGCGTGGTCTATCTTTCCTTTCCTTGCTATTTGCTTCCCACTCTGGTCCTGTTTTATTGTGCTTCTGATCTCATTGGTCTTTGTCTTTTATTTGAAGCCCTCTGCATATTTCTTGCATTTGACCACAAGTTTAGCTGTCCAGGTTTCAACCTTCAGCATCCCTTAAGCCTTAGGTTGGAGGCGTGCTTTGATGCTCATGTTCCACGCTCCCAACACAGCTCTTCTACTTGACCACCTCCCCTGCCATGCTTGCCCTAAAGCCATGGAGGGAGAGGTAGGAGATTAGATACAGAGTTTGAGTCAGGAGATAGTGTTCAGGCCCATTCAGTCTCTCCAAGGATCCAACCCCTCTTGGCAGAGAAGAGATTTGCCAGGGCCCACATATTCGAACATGCTATTTGATGTAAAATATTCACAAATGTAAATAAGCTGCCTGGCTTCGTTTATACCACACACCGATTTTTTCCCCAGTTCTCTTGAGCCTCCCACTGCCCTTTTTTTTTGTCATCAACTGCTGGGCCTTTCCTGCATTACTGTTTCGACTATACCTCTCTAGGTTGACTCACAATTCAGTTCTCCTGCAGGGTGACTTTGACTTTACTTCTTATTATTTTTGTACTTCTTAGTTCATCAATTGTACCAATAGTTTTAGAGATAACACATCTCCTGACAGGACCAAATTCCAAGGGATTCCTTTCTTACTGTGGTGCCCTAGAAGCCACCCTACTATTGTGCCCCAACTTCACAATCAAGACCTGGGAAATTATCTGCCTCAGATGTCTTATTACTCCCCCATTTCCTCCCATATTGAGACTTGCCGCCTCCATTTGAAGTTACATTAAGGAGCCAAACGAAGCATAAAAACATACATATATTGAGATTATTTCAATAAGCCTTTAGTGGGGAATAGAAGTCTTCCATTGCTAAAATAACCGTAAAAGTGAAAACTTGGCTCTCGAGGAATAACTAATGGTGTAGGAAATGGAAATAGCAATGCTATCAGAAAGAGAAGTCATAAACACCCCCGGACAGAAAATTATATCAGCACTCACCTCTTTGGAAGAATGTGCTGACCATGAAGGCAAAGAAAATTGTGGCAATGGCAAAACACATTAGAAAAACAAATATCAAACTAGGGTCACTGTTCTTAAACACGGCCACATTTTCCACCTATAAAACAATCATAGATGTACATAATTTTTACATGGAAAGAATAAGGAGAAAGCATAAACTACTGTC